AGGTTCAATTTTCGTGCTGAAGATTTCAAATTTTGATTTAAAATGTCAATATACTTGTACTGATCCATTATACTGTCAATAAAAACAAGATTACCAGCTCCAGCGGACGACATATACCCCCATACCATAACTCCTCCTCCACCATGTTTTACTGTTGGCACCAAGTTCTGTTTTGCGAAATTCTTCCCTGGATTTTCTCCACATCAAGATTCTACCGTCAGAACCAAGTATATTAAATTTACTCTCATCAGCAAATATAATTTCATTCCAGTAATCAGAATTCTTATTTATGTTGGATTTTGCGAAAGCCACTCTGAGTTTTCTATTCTTTTCACTTACGAAAAATTTTTTCCTGGCTGCTCTACCGTGATATCCAGCAGATCGAATTACTCTTCTAATAGTCTCAGGATTAACAACTACTCCATATAATGCTTGTAAATCAGCAGCAACTTTAGAAACACTCATTTTTGGATTTTTTTTTTAATTTTTCGAACATAATTCGCTTTATTCCATTGGATAGCTTTGATGGTCGGCCAGGTCTTCTTTTATCCTAAATCATATGATTCTTTTTATATCGTTTAATGATACTGAAAACTGTTGAATGACTCAAGTTAACTGTTTCAGCAGTTTCTCTAATAGATTTTCCATCTCAATATGCAAATTAATAACTAATTTTCGAATTTCAGGCAAAGTTTCTTTTCATTTAGCATTCATGGCTGCACAGAGCTAAAAAACACAAAAATTCCAAAGCAAACTGGAGAGAAATACTGAAGACGATTTTATAAATTATTGCCAATTACTTTTAAGTAAAAATAAAAACCAAAAAAAAAAATATTTTTATTGTAGTACGTTAGTATCTAATGGTGTCGCATCACTTATGTGAGCCATTTTTGGCTCCGTTCTAAACAATTGTATTTTTATTAAATTAATGTTTTAATATTTTGAGAAAATGTATGTTATGTAATAATTGTTACTAAATTTAAGTATGAAACTCACCCACAAAAAATTTTTACATTTTTTTAAAATTTATTTTATTACAGTTTCTTTTTGTAAAGCACAAGTGTCCCATCACTTTTGTGAGAAACTGTATACTTATTGGATTGAATTAAATCTACTTCGTCAATAGCGCATAAACCACAATAGAATAAATGCACTCTTTAAAAGTCACGACATTTGTTTACCATAGCAACACTCTGGCGCTCGGTTCACTTAACAGCGTTATATTTCGTTCATATTATAACTCAGATGACAAATTTATATCATTGAAGAATTATCTAATCGTTGCCAAATGTTCTATTCAAATACTATAATAAATCTAAAACGATGTATAAAAGAAATTAAGCAAACAAAACAAAAAAGAAACAGTTTTTCACGGACGATTCAGTATTTTTCATTCAATTAATTCAGTTCTCACTTTGCGACAAGGCAAAATACATAAAAACTCAAAATGTCTTTATTAAAAATCTATATTGTTTCATAATAGTTTTGAGACAAGGCGCGATTAACAGGGAAAAGGACTTAAAAAAAAAAAAATAACGACAACGAACTGATGTGTTCTTGTTCGTTAATTATGTGTCTGGAGTAGATGAACATCTCGAGATTAAGCCGTTTCATCATCGAGAACACTGCTCAGGATGCACTACAGAGGAAGACCGATAATATATCCGCGAAGATTAGAAAGAAACGCGACTCTACTACAGCCAAACCTTACGCAAAAATTGAACCCACACTTTCGACTTTAAAAAGTAGCATTCAGCCTGTTAACCATTGCACCATCCAAAGCAGAGACAACACTGATGTAGGTAGTAACAGACATATAATTCATTGCATAAATTGGTTATGCAAACTTGCAGTACGAATGCCACGTAATAATAATAAATGCAATTTTAATTTCCTGGTAGTTTTTCTCTGCTAGAATACTTTTCCTTTTAATTACTTTAAAATTACTCCTAACATAGCTCACGAAATTCAGTTAACCCACAGTTCATTTTAAAACACCATCTTAGTAACTTCCTACAACACGAAGCTATTAAAAGTACATTCTTCCAAGCTGTTAAAAAAATTACGTAGAACTAAGATGTTATGTGGGATGTTCGCGCTTTTAAACCCTTGCAAATTCAAAGATCAGCTCTTTCTCATGCCCATAATTATTTAAATCTGTAGAGTGATTAGGTTTATTTCGGAATAGGAAAAAAGAAAAATATGACAAGTCCTCGTATTCAAACTTCGGACCTCCCGCTTGCTAGCCGAACGTATTCCACGTACACCACGAAGGCACGTGGCAATAAGAGGAAATATAGCTTTCCATTCCCCCTCACTTGAAAAATAACTGAAGAGGGGGAGACCCAATAACCATATCCTGGTGATGACGAATTATCAACCACGATATTTTAGTGGTGTCTTTAGTGGTGTCATTAGGTTTATTCTGGCACATGAAACATAAAAAATGTACTATGTCCTTGCCGGATTCCCTGATTGCCAGCCCAACATACGTTCACCACGAAGTCCCGTGGCAAATTAGGAGTAAATAGCTGCTTAGAGCAGGAGGCTATACAAATTAATATTATACGAGTTTAAAAGCTAAACAGTTATCAAAACAGCTAAACAGCTAAACAGTTAGTAACTGATGCTAATTAGAGTGCATAACAGCCTCAGTGTGCTGCTTAATATCTATTGTATTGTCGGAAGCCGTATTATTCTCGTGTGCTGTGCGAGTTGGTTACTTTAGGTACTTACTTAGGCTTATATCACACATGCATTTGTTTCATACAATTTTTCTACCTGGTTTACTATTGAAAGAAAGACGTGCGATTTTTTTTCCTTTTCTTTCGAAAAAAATTGCGAGTTGTTCGTTTTCAACCAATCAGCTATCAGCTTGTTTGTAATGGAGAACCAGTTTCCCCTTTACATGCTAACCCCAAAACGATCTGTGGTGATTGCCTTTTGTGACAAAGCAGAAAAAATTGTTCCAAACAGCTGTTCTCTAAAACAGAAAAAATTGTTCCAAACAGCTGTTCTCTAAAACAAACGGATGTGTGATAGCAGCTTTAGAAGAAAAACAATCAGGTGCAGAGTTTGAAGGATTTAATAAATTTTAATTCGTAACAGAGCAAATCACTCTAATTTTTGCAACTCATCATTGATAGGTAATCGTTTGTCGATTTGGTGTTCTCAGTTTTAATTTTAGTTGTAATCTACCACAAGTTTCTAAATAAACTGGTGTTATGTAGTTTTAATGTATCTGTGTGTGAAATTGATTCAGAAAGAATTCTAGGTATAGCTTTGAGTGAAATACCGTTAAAAAAAACTGTCTCCGTCTCCCTTTTTTTTTTTTTTTTTTTTTTTGCAAGAATAATTTAATTACACGGTTATAAATATAAGATTATAATTACATTAGAAAAATTACTACATTAGGAATATGGATTCAGCAGATATCAGACTTACAAAATATATTGATGACGATGATGATACAGTACAGAGGCTGTTCACACATTTTTTAGACGATGCATATTGTATTCACAAAACTAATTACATAAAATTCTGTGTTTTAAATGTTTATTTGACATCCCTTATAGGAACATCTTTCGACACCGCAATTTCCAGGATAATAATGCCTTTGAAGTGGCAGAAGAGGTATCTATCCCATTCCTCCCGAACAGCTTTCCAGAGTCTGTTAGGGTTTTGGACACGTTTGGATATCAGTTTTTAAAAATCCGAAAGCACAAAAATCATAGGTGACACATCGGGAGATTTAATAGGGATATCAGTGAAGGGTATGGTCTTTGATACCAGTTTTTTGTTCCATTTCTTTTAGGAAGTTTACAGTGGATTTTGATGTGTGACTGCTAGCTTTGTCCTGATGGAGTCTCACAGATTGATGGCACTGTGGATAGGAAATTTACAGTGGATTTTGATGTGTGACTGCTAGCTTTGTCCTGATGGAGTCTCACAGATTGATGGCACTGTGGGTAAAGCGATGTTATTTCATTCAGAAAAATTGGCGATAAAATATGTTCCTGATAGTATTTGGAGTTAATCTTGACATTTTTTTGCACTCTCTTTATTTTTAACTTGCCATTATAAGAAAAACCAACAACAATCATGAATCCCTTAGAAAACTTTCTTCGATTCTTTGAACCATGTACTTAAATTTTTTCTCCCCTTTTATGATAATGAATGGCTCTTTTTTTTTTTTTTTTTTTTTTTTTTTTTTTTGTACAGTCATTTAATACACCCATGCTTCATCTATTGTGACAACTGTTTTCCATTTTCTTTGGATAAGTGTTTCTCATACAGAATTCTGCAGCGTGTCCTGCGTTGAGCGATATGCTTTGGAAGAAGACGATGCGCATTGCGTTTTTTCGCTTTCTTAAGATTTAAATCAACGTTTATCATTTTGTTTACAGTGGACAACGAGCATTTTAATGATTTTTCAAATGTCCTTTGACTAGGGGGATTTTCTTTTAACATTAAACAACGTACCTTTGCAATAGTCGAAGATGTCCGTTTTTTCCTTGGATACTTCTTTGGAATTTTTGTCCCACTTGAAGCTCCAATTTGACGTTTTTTTTTTTTTTTTTTTTTTTTTTTTTATTTCTTGCTGATGATATTACCTTTCGACGCTTTAGATATCACAAAACCATGACTCTCACATCGTTTTTGGATAACGGAGTATGCATATTTCTCTTCGGAAAGAGCGTAAATGTAGCCTTCGAACCACTGCTTTGTTAAATTCGCCATTTTGAATAAAAACAAAACTTTCAAGCTACAGACGATAATTTTGACTTTTAAAAACATAGTACAATTGCAATTACTTCTTTTGCAGCAAACGATTTTTTATTACCGCTTACCAAAATCGTCTAAAAAAATGTCGAACAGCCTCTGTAGAAGAGGAAGATCTTTTATATCTTAATGCTCAAGTCACCAATTAGGTCCACGGGACTCATGATAAAAAGCAATTTTAAATGCTATGTTTTCGCTATTAATACATTTTTCATTCATTTATGAATTTAAAAACTTTTATTTACATAATTATTTAATGCATCAGAAATTTACAAATAATATATCTTATAAATAACAAATAATTTCCAAATGGTCAACATAATCATTAGCTTATCAGATATTTCCGTCCATAAAACTGAACTTTTTTCTCAAAAACTGCTGATTTTATGGCAGTGTTATGCTCATAGAAAGGGTTCATGGAATGCTGAAATAAAAACAGTCATAGAAAATTTTAGTACACTTCTTATTTAAAAGAACAATGCACAATAATTTCGATAAAAACATTCAGAAAACCAAATCACTGTACAATATAGAATAGATACTACTAACTGTGATTATTGCGAATTATTATACGAAACTTATTTACCAATAAATATTATACAGTACAAAGTCCGTAATCCGGACTCGTCGGGACTTCGGAGATTCCGGATTAGGGGTTTTTCCGGATTATATAGACCATCAATTTAAATCTGGTAAGATGGCATGCAGAAATAATACAATTAAAAATATGAAACCGTAATTTATGAAATAAAGAGCGATTATGATCTAAAGGGTATCAAAATTTACACAAAAAAAAAAAAACTTAATATTTATTTGTTTACTTTAGTAAACATTTCTATCAATGTAAGTTGTTTAAGTTGCTTCGTTTTTTGTGCTAATACTTTCTCCTTAATTCTATAAACCGACATAGTTTCTTGTTAATTACAAGTTCCACTTTCAAGTCCTGTAATTGCTGAGTCGAGAATACCGACTAACTTGTCAATCCAAATTTTTTCGTTTTCAATGATTCTGTTACTTTTTTCATTATCGGAAGCGCGCATGGGTAAACGCTTTACTGGCTTTACGCGCATGCGCAGCGGACGCGCGCATCAAAAGCGCATGCGTAAATGTTAAAATATGACCTACTGTAACCCTTTTTCTGCATGATCTCTCCTCCTTGAAACAATTCTAATTTTTACATAAGGTTTAGCTTTTATTTTAAAGGGATATAACAATTACTTCTACTTCTTTTTCGCTGCCACTGTTTTTATTAAGAACGGACTGTTCCAGCCTAATTAAGATGCAAAAACGAAACTCGAAGTTACGTCATCTGGAAAGCTGAGTCGTGCCGACAGCTGATTGGCTGCCGTGAGATAACGTCATGTCTACTTAAGTATCTCACATCACTTTGGCTTAATCCCAGATATTCAGGTAATGATTCGGAGCTGAGACGTGGAGTGTGTAGGTTTGCTGCAGCAGCTCATTCTTATCGTGTTCTGTACTGTTCCAGTCACGTAGGTGGACAGTGAATTTTACTAGTAATTTCAGTTACCGCCGGGTAAACAATGTCCTTATTTAGTACACCACGCGATTCAGATAATGACAAATTTAGCGAAAGAGACTCTATAAACTCTTTCTATTCAAACAAGGACATTTCCGCTAAGAAAGGAGGACTTTCTGATCGGTCTCCTAAGGAAAAAGAAAAGCAAATCAAAAAAAGGTAAAAACAGCGATGGACTCAGAATCAGGAACGTCGCAGAAAATGGCTGAAACTCCACACCGAGGAAGGTAAACCAAAGGAACAGGAAAAGCATAGATTATTGGGAATTTATAAAAACTCACGGAATTGAAGAAATGTTTGATGCGATTAAAGTCGATGGAGGAGAAGTTATTGTGGAATCAAAAGGTTTGTCAATTGAGATGGAAAATTTTGAGACTACTACTGAAGGTAGTAGATGGGTTACCCCAAGGAAAACAGCCACATTGAACCAGGCGGCAGAGCCGATGGAGATAGCGAATGAAAACAGATTTGAAATTCTCAATGTTGAAGGAAAACCAGAGGAAGGAGGAGCCAAAGAAACGCCCCCACCTCTCGTGTTACAGCAGAAGACAACTGATTGGATGGAAGTGCACGAATTTCGAAGCAGAAACGAAAGTAAAGTCTATCTATGTAAATGTTAAGACTGTGGAGAAGTATAGAAAGAAGGCAAAAATATTAAGAGAACGTAGTAACGCACCATTCATTCCAGCTGCAAAGTGATAAACCGCTGAGAGTTGTGATAAAGAATTTACCCAACTCAGTCAAGGAAGAGGCAATCATGCAAGACCTTCAAAGAAGAAATTCCCAGTCACCAAAGTAAAGCAATTCCGGAGAAGCCGGAAAAATGAATTTGAGAACTTGCCTATTTACTATGTTGAAATGGAAAAGACAGCAGAGGGATTTGCTATTCATCATGTGAATAACATGTTTGGACTGAATATAAGGATAGAAAAATTCGCGACGAGGAAACAACCATTGCAATGTTACCGGTGGCAAGAGTATGGCCACTCTCAGCACCTATTCTCCAACCCCGAAAGATGCTGTGTATGTGGGCAGGCCCACAGGTGTAAGCTATGCGCCTTAAAAGATGAGGAAAAGCCCACTTGCATTTTTTGCAATCAGGCTCATGTGAGCTCATATCGAGGATGTGAGACGTATAGAAAACGTTTCGAGAAGAAAAAGATCGTAACCAGACCAAAGGAGCCAGCCCCGACGTCAGGAGATTTCCCGCAACTTATCGAAAGAATACTGTGCCGAAAAAGAGAGCTACGAGAATCTGCTACAGTGAGAAAGTCAAAGGAAGTATCCAGCCCCCTCCAGACGAACTTTCAGAAGCAGTTTCATGGCTGCAGGATAAGAAAATCAAGAAGTTCCTAAGTGCAATCATAGGAAGTATTGAAAAAAGCAGAGCAGCCAACAACACCGCACCGAAGTTAGCAGCAGGTTTCCAGGCTGCCTTAAGACTAATGGAATTTGCAGAGTCCGATGATTAGTTAGTACCCTGAACGAAGAGTTCACTACCTTGATGGATTTTCTTGACTTGATCTACTGCATTTACGCAGGACTTTTTAGAACTCTTGGACTCACTACTCCGTTTTTGTGACCTAGTCCCTTTCCCACGCGCCAGATGGCCAGATCTCGGTATTGATCGTATTTCACGCCTCCGGGTGTCGGCAAACAAATTAGTTTACCTTTAGAATTTTTTTTACAATAGCGAAATGCTAATGGCTTTTTAGATCGAATGGCAAAAGCTCTACGTGGCTGTGACCATCACGAAGGATGCCTATGCTTCTTCTTGTTCCTGTTTCCATTGCTCCTGGTGTACTGTTCCAGCGCTCATTGGAAGACGTTATTTCGATGCGTGTCGTCCAGCGATAAGTACCGTGGTTCCGGGCCATGTTGGCTTCTCCAAGGTTAAGCGAAGTCAAATCTCAATTTGTGTTTCCGAGTGATCAAATGCAGTGGGCGGCATCCTGTTCCATGGTTCAGTGGTGTTAAATCTCAAGTTGTGGTTTCCGGTGATCAACTGCCGTAGGCGGCATCCTGTTTCCAAGGTTAAGCGACGTCAAATCTCAAGTTGTGGTTTTTGGTGAGCAACTGCCGTGGGCGGCATCCTGTTTCATGGTTAAGCGGAGTCAAATCTCAGGTTGTGGTTTCCAGTCAGCAACCTCTGAAGGCGGCATCCTTAACACAAGTGTTTTTCAGGTCTAGCGGCGATGTTTTACCAAGCTGTGATTTCCCGTGAGCACCTGCAGTGAGCGGCATTTACCAATTCAAGTGCATTTAAGGTTTAATTTAATTTTTCAGGTGCCTTCTTGGCCAAAAGCATAGACCATTTTAGTCAAGTGAAATTCAAATTAATCGCGTAGTTTTGTTCTGTGTTTTTCGCGAGTAATTGAATGCCAGTATTCATAGAACAGGTAATATATTTACTGTATCATTAATAGTGTAATATTCTTTAAAGGAAAAACCCATTGGGGTTAATGAATAGTTAACTGAGTAAGTGTAATTTTTTTTAAGACAATGATTATGTTATACTCTTTAAAGTTTCTAAGTTTCTGTATTGATCAAATTTATTTTCATTGTATTTTTATTTTCTATATATACTCCATGGACAAAAAAATTAGCGCACCAAGTTTAAAGGACTTTTGTCTTCAATGAAAACGAAATTTTACACACGTAATGACTACTTTGATATAAGTAAATGGTAAGAAAATTAAAGAAAAAGGATAATTTATTTCAGAGAAAAAGGCAAAAGAACAGAGGAGTTAATACTCCGTTGGACCCCCTCTAGCGCGAATGCACGATGCGATACGATCGGGCATTGAGTCATACAAGTTCTGTATGATGTCTTGAGACATTTCGTTCCATATTTGCTGTAACCTTGCCTCTAGTTCGTTCAAACTTGTGGGATGCCCAACTCGTCGTCCCAAATGATCCCAGATATGCTCGATTGGAGACAAATCTGGGGATAGGGCAGGCCAAGGAAGGGTAGTAACAGTGCAGAGATAGTCTTGTGACACCCTTGCCGTATGAGGCCGAGCATTGTCTTGTTGAAAAATGGCTCCTGGGAGCCGTTGCATGAGTGCAATACATGTGGTTGCAGGATATACCGCTGGGCTGTCATGGTGCCACGGACCATGTATTGTAGGTGTACCGTGTATTGTAGCGATGTGTCGCTGTACAGCAAAGGTAGGATTGAGGCGTTCAGCACGGGCTCTCCACACATAAACACGATTGTCATCACTGCCGATACTGAATCTGGATTCGTCGCTAAAGACGACCTGGTTCCATTCTGCTGCAGTCCAGTTTCCTCTTGCTCGACACCACTCCAAATGGAGGCGTCGATGGGTGAGCATCAAGGGCAGCACACGTAATGGGCGCCGCGATACCAACTGTCCTTCAGCCAGGCGCCTTCGTATGGTTCGAGAAGACACAGGAGCCCCTAGTGAAGGTGCTACCTGTGCCTGGATGGCGGCCGATGAAGCAGTTGGCTGTACGCGTGCATTTCTTACGATGTGGCGGTCTTCTCGACGACTGGTCTGTCGAGGACGTCCTGAGCTTGGTCTTTGTGTACACCACATCTCTTGTGTTCACTGGTCACCTCCTCACAACACAATCAGAGCGGCTTAATTGACGAGCTACTCGCCTAGCTGACCACCCAGTTTTCCATCATCCCAACGATTCTCCCCCTCTCAAACTGCGACAACTGCTCATATTGTCTTCGAACACAGCGTAATGGCATGTCTACCTCAGCTCTTCCTTTGTAAATGATTCAGCACACTCAAACAAGCTTTGGTTACCTGTTTTATACTCCATAGAGTACGACGTTCAACGCCTTCTACCGGCTATACGTAATGCGCAATCACGCTGCATTTCTAATCATTTGCATATCTCCCCGACAT